CCCCGCCGAGTTATCGACAGCATGAAGCAGTTGAATAGACTGACTAGTTATTATTCCTGGAAATAGTCATAGCCAATAGGAGTAACATATTTTTTGTCTTCTTTTAAGACATCGTCATAATCATTAACGGTTGATTGCATAAATTCCTCAATAAGATTAATAAACCTGGTTTCATCAGTACCCCCTTTGACTGCAGTAATATCAGTTAGGTTATCTAGATTAATATCGTCTATTTTTCTATTAAACATAAGGAAACATAATTTTATTATAAACATTGTTTTCGCAATACGGACGCAAGTTAAATCCACAACGTTGTCTTCAGGATCCATTAGGAGCAATTCGCCAGTCTGTAACTATTAGTAATAGTAGGCAAATATCTCAGAGGTTAGAAGATGGATATCAATTCCAACATGGATATTAATGATGTTAAACCCATCGTATCGAGCAAATTTAAAGAGGTGTTAGATGTCAATAAGTAAAAATAACAGAGACGATAGCACCGAATATTCTGTACCTTATTTCAGGGGCAACCAAGAAGTTATAACCGAATCCGAGTCTATAAGTGCATCATTAGATGCTTCAATTCAGCGGATACAAGAAACTTTAGAATGCTAGACTAATAGAACTTCGGGCTGGGGCGTGGATAAAATCGATACCATATACATGTATTTCGATAAAGCAAATTATATGCCTTTGAAAGGTAGATCTAAGATAGATTTACCCTCATATAATAAGAAGAAAAAAAGTCATAATTAATGTAACAAAATGATTATGATAACTGTTTAAGATGGGTGTTTAGATCTGCCTTGTTTCCCGTAGATTCTAAAATTGCAAATAGACCTTCGAGCTATCCCCAAAACGATGGACTCAAACTTGAAGGTATAGATGAACCTACGTCAATCTCGCAACTTGATAAGGTTAGAAAAGCTATAAATGTTTCCGGACATTTTACTAAAGGAACTGTTGTACACAGGATAAGCTCCGCCCCAGAACATATTCCAAGAATCAATTCTTTTCTGATCGAAAAAGATGGTAAATATAATTATACAGGGAAAAAGAGTTTAAGTAGGCTATTATGCAACCAAACAAAACATGATGGAAAGACATATTTCTGCAAAAGATGTCTACTTGGATATTGCAGACAAGATCTTTTAGAAGCGCATAAAGAATACCGCAGAGGTGTTAGGCAGAGTGCTATCAGGATCGATATGCCTCAAGAGGGTAAATATATATTAAAATTTGAGCATTATTGTGATCAAATGCCAGTACCATACATAATTTATGCTGACTTCGAAGCACTTATCAAACCGATAGAAAATACCCGACACACTACAGTATGCAGTTTTACATACAAAACTCCAGAACATACTCCTCATGGGTTTGGATATGTAGTTGTAAGGTATGATTGGAAAACAAATACACCCGTGATTTACAGAGGTCATGATGAGACAGAAAAGTTCCTAGAATAATCAGGGAAGATTTATCGCGTAAACCCATGTGTATGACGAGGGATGACTGGAGGGCCTATAGGAAGCCAGTGAGTTGTCATGTTTGTAATAAATGGGGATTCTAAAAGAGATCATTGTCATGTGACGGGTAATTACAGAAGAGCCACGCATAATGAGTGTAACTAGAAACTTAAAATTGATTCTCAAACAATACCAATCCCCATTCTGTTTCATAACCTAGAGGATATGATTCTCATCTCATCTTGCAAGCTATTTCAAAGAATGATGGTGGTTTAACGGGCATTCCTGATAATATGGAAAGATATATATCATTCACATTGACTAAAACTACACATTATATGGACAAGAATGGGAAAGCGAGAACAAAACAAAGTAATGGACATAGATTCATAGACTATGTACAGTTTATGTTATCTTCCCTGGACAATTTAGCTAATACAAACAATCACGATGACTTTGCCATAACAAATCAATATACTGATCGGTTAACACGACATTTGTTGCTGCGAAAAGGTTATATCCTTACGAATATATGGATAATTGGTCCAGATGTGACGAAACTAAATTACCACCTGTTGAATCATTCTATAGTACTTAACAGAATCTAAAATAACCGGTGTTCTGGTGGTGTGGGATAAATTAGGTTGTAAGAATTAAGGCGATTATCACGATCTGTACTTTAAAACCGATGTATTGTTACTCGCCAATATATTTGAGATATTTAGAAAGACATGTATAAAACAATATGGCTTGGATCTGGCATGGTATTATTCCAGTCCTTGACTCTCGTGAGATGCATTGTTGGAGAAGACCGGTGTAGAACTGAAATTACTCACCGATTATGATATGCACATGTTTTTTTAGTTAGGATTAAGAGGTGGTATATCAATGATAGCGAAAAGGTATTCTAAGTCCAATAATAAATTAGTAGAAGGATATGATTCAAGTAAATCCGATACGCACATATTATTTAAGAATTGACCTTCACTTTGTGAGAGTTCATTGGAGTATGAACCTTCATAGAGTGAGGGCTAAACTGTATGAACGTCAGTAGTATATAGTGAGGGCGCAGGAGCTGGTTTTGGTTGAGGGAGGTTGAGTGAAAATAGGGAAGGTGTTTGGTTGATCCAAGTCACGTGTTCGGATGGGATGACTCATGCATCAACAGCGCGTCGGGGGGTGGGGAATGAAAGGTGTGTGTGTTTATAAGGCAGAAAAGAATTCATAAGAAAACAAAAGTAAAAGGTTATGAATAGAGGTATGCGTACAGCGTGCTGCCCTAAATAGACAGACCGTACCCGTCAGCCCAGTTTGAATTGAGCGCGCTTGACAACTCACGTGGCCTCGTCGCTATAGCTAGAGCGTGTGACCTGGTTTGATGAATACAGGGTGTGTGTTGAAAGTACATCATACCACAATAGAGACGGGTTATGTCAACACGATATACCTTTCATTCCCCATCCTTTCCCGACGCGCTGTTGATGCATGAGTCATCCCATCCGAACACGTGACTTGGATCAACCAAACACCTTCCCTATTTTCACTCAACCTCCCTCAACCAAAACCAGCTCCTGCGCCCTCACTATATACTACTAACGTCGGAGCTCGCGATCTATATTCGTGATTTTGGCTGTTTTTCTACAGGACGGGATGTGGGTTATATAATAGTGGTTATGTCACACCAGAAAGCTAGGTCTACAAGACATGATTTCATTGTCCCTCTTGTGTAGCTGAGCTTCTTTTTTAAACATTCAAGGCTGAATGTTTATCTGTTCTTATATATGCAGATGGATACTGAACTTTGCTGTTTCATTGAAGTATAACAAAAATGGAAATTAATGTAGTGTTGCCATAGAAACATAACATCGTGCCGTTCTTAGATATACCAGATTCCACATGTGGGATATCACATTTTCCTTTATACAGTTTATACAGCAGTCAGAATTGGTTTGATTGACGGGAAATGTCTGTTTAAGAAACTATTAAGCAATATGTAAATTTGTATTGAGATATTGTGATAGAGTTATGATATATAAAAATGTTGGAATGTAGGTAATGTTTTGGCATTTCTACAATAATCCAAAAATAGAAGAATACATAAACCTGATATAATTAAATTTTAAAGTATACTCTCTAGGTTAACACAGTTCTATACATGTGACACGCTGAACTAGGCCGACGCATGAATGTTTATCCAGCACATAACCAGCGCTGCTTATCAATATACGCCTTCTCATGTCAGGACGCAGTACATACTAAAGCGCCAACCGTGAAACAGTCGTGAGCTGTCTCCATCGATCGCTTCGAGTGACTGGCTATGTTGTCAGTCCTTGCACGTTCTAAAGCCCATTTGAAAAACGTTTTATTACATTTATCCTGGCTATGTATTCATCAAATGACATACAAACAACTCAAGACAAGATTTTTGAATAGTTTCCGCTGCATTTGAAACTTTGGGGCTCGTTCACCATGACAGATAGCCCCACTACATATTTCATATGATAGAAGTGATGTTCCTGGTAATGTTTGTTTTTATAATTCCTTTTCATATTTAAGTATTCATTCATATATTTTTTTATACATGTATACATGTTTGGAATGCATATCGCATTTATATCATCATGCAAGGTTAAGGTTAAACCCAGTTGTTAAACTATCTTAATAAAACATTAATAAAAAGGAGCCAAGGATACTGCAGTAATCTAGGCTTGCCAAACATTATAGACTTGCATGGGTTATATTTGATATATTTGTATCAGGGTCTGTAAGACAGGCTAGGGCTTAAAATGCTGGGCCGTTATAAATTGTGAATTAAAAATAACATTCTACAATCACCAGATAATGGTTTAAATAACAGGCATACTTATTGACCCTCTTACCAATCTCTGTCCCCTCTCCATTGAGTCTAACTAGAGTGCAGCTGTCATTTCCTCATGCGGCCTAGTCCAGCCCTACCATTCCCTTATGGTATTTTGTTACAGATATATTTTGAAGCTTAAGTCTTCATAATGGTATTAGGAAGTTAGATGGCCAAATTGCAAATTTATGTGGAACACAAAAAGAATTATCTAGGAATTTGAATTTGTCTCCATATTCAAACGTATCTATTGGCTATATATATATGGAGTGGATAGTCAGATAAACCTCTTTACAGAAGTAGACTTTTCAAAGGAAGTGAAAAAACCGGCATCTGTCTCATACTTGATGTCCTGCATGTTTCTATACTGCGAAAGTGCAATACACACACTGTGTGTGAAAATTGCATCGCTGTAGTGACAAGAGAAAATGGCAATCAGCTGTGCTTGAAAAGAATGATCATTTTCTTGGAAGAAAATCAAGTGCATGCTTCAAAACTTGAATTGTGTACCTAATGCTCAAGTGACAGCAAGTTTTGCAAAATTACGTCGATATAATTCAACTTAATTAACAAGTTCATTACAATTAATATAAAACTATTAAATTCATTAAATGACGCCACCAGCCATATCACGATTTGCTGTTATAAACCGAATCTTGGGTGGAGGAGTACAGTGTTGGTGTGTGACTCAATGCAGCTGCAGCGATGGCACCTGAACGATGGCGTCACCACTTGGACTACTTGGTCACCCTCCTCGGTGGCAGCATTGGGGCCGGTTCACTCATCAAGTTCCCGTACTTATGTATGCGTAATGGTGGAGGTAAGTATCAGTTGATAATATTTCTTTGGTTAATTCACTCAACATCAATTGAGACAAGTGGAACGAATACCATGTCCACAATCTCAAAACCTCAAAGGATTTGCAATCTCAGAAAAGAACAAAGTTCAATTTGTAAATGACTATCCCACACGACAAACTTAAGAAAAAACTTCATACCTTCACCCAAGGAGCATTTGGCCTATATACCTATAGTTACATCTCTATCTTCAAAAGGTACAAAATGAAAGCATATATGTCATCTGACGTTGATGGAGAACACAATTTGAGCAAGAAGTGGGCATCCCAAAGGTAACAATCTTTTGCCCCTCAACAATGGTTCCTTCCACTAATTTACCTGCCAGAGCTAGACATTAACGAAACCGCCTCTTCAGATCTGTGCATAAAGATGCAGAAAGTATTATTATTTAAAAAGTATTTCAGATATGTACACTCGAAATTATCTTTTGTTATTGTTTGCAAATGTAATGATCTGTCCTGATGGATATAACTTGACGAAAACTCATCTTTAAAGGGACAATGTTTGGAGTTTGGAAGGCATATGAACTATGATTATTTAAGGGTAGCCAAATGCAGCGCATGAGTATATTAACTACATGTAAAAAGATTCCCAGATACATGGGGCTTTTTCGTCACTAGGAATATTCACGGGGGCTTAAATGTCATCAAACTAGACAGCTTTGGTCAATAAATGGCTGTGGCGTAAAACACACTCACTCTCACTTACTTGTATGGGGAATTAAATATTCATCTTATTTTTCATTGATGAACAAATAAGACTGGCAACCAATATAACGAAGAGGTTTACAAGGCAATGCATGGTTTGCTCCTGCATATTTACAGGAACTAAAAGTACCATACAAGCCTGCACGTTCTCTCCGATCAACATCTGCTAGTGGTGTCAGGTATTTAAACATATGGTGATAGGTCATTTCAACATGCTGGCCCATTGCTATGGAACCATCTGCCACAAGAAATTCGAGAAACAGAGAATCTGACAAACTTTGAAAAGACACTGAAATCGTGTCTCTTCAAAAGAGCGTTTGCTCAGATCAATCATGGTCAAGGCGCATTTAAACAGTTGCTCTTGATATTGTTGATTAAAAATTGACAACGTACACTATACATGTTATATGAGAGAACCACTTTAGAACGATAACAGGCGTTGATATACATCCAAGATGACATAGATAGAACAATGTGTGGTACATCAATTATCTAATATGAAAGGGAAAAATTTAATAATTGAATAATTAAATTCAACAGTTCTTCTTAAAGTCATTTTTCCTGACTTAAAAGTAAACTTAAGAACACGATATTGAGGAATACAATCTCTAAAATTCTGGTACACTACCACACCACTATATAGCACACAATTACTATTGGCATGCCTGCTTGGATCGGTTTGGGTGTCAGCATAGACATCCATAGAATAGACACCTTCATTTCGGAATGTCACAAGTAATCTGTTAACAATAACAGAACAAAGCCGTCTACATTGTAATATTACCTATATCACTGTATAAGGTGAAAATGTGAAAGGGGAATCCCGAGTCAATGTTCTCAGGTCACATAACAATTAGAGGGTGGAAGGAACTAAAAACATATTTAAACATAGTTTTCAAAATTGCAATCAATATCAGAAACGAATAACTGTATATGTTCTGCATGGAAGCTAAATCGAAGGTGGCAGTGTTGACCTAAAAATTCCTCCTCAAGGAGTGCTCGGATTGGCTATTAGAAGTCCCGCTGGACCGTGGTTCCTGCTTGGCTGGCACCCAGCTGGTGTTACCCGTGAAGATTCCGGGGTAGAATAGGTCTTCAGCAACCCATACTTGCCTTGAAAGGCGACTATGCTTGTCGTAAAAGGCGACTAACGGGATCGGGTGGTCAGGCTGGCTGACTTGGTTGATGCATGTCATTGATCCCAAATGCGTGGATCGATGCTCATGATATTAATCACTGGATTGTTTGGTCCAGACCCGATTATTTACAGACCGCCATCATATAGCTGGAATATTGCTGAGTGCGGCGTTAAACAACAAACAAACAAACCAACCAACCAACCCACCTGGTTTACATTACCGTCAAAGGGGAGACCTGAACAAGGGCAACATACCACATTTAAAACATAATTAAGAGTTAAGTACAAACATAGTTCGCGAATTGGTGGTTTTATTTGACTGCAAAAGTAATATCCATTTGACTAAATGTTTCAGTATTATCACTACATCATTCAAATAGAAATGCGCGTGACAGCTTCCAGCAGTTGCGACGTGTTGCATCAAGTACGTGCTGTAAACAATCCGCGAAATCGCGCAAGCACAGATCGGCAAATGTGAGCAAGGTGTTACACAATCCGCATGCGCATAACGGTGAAATTCCGCATTTCCGTGAGAACAACGAGCCATTAGGCTGGAAAATAAAACTCCATTATTCCAGCCTAGTTCGATAAGAGTGGAAACTGAACTTTTAAAGTCAGGTAACGCTCTTGCCTCGGGAAGATAGAAAAGGGGGTAGCTTGATTACATCGTTCTCTCGCAGTAAATTCCGATGTCAAGACGACGTTAATTGGACGGCAAAACCACGACGTTTTCGTGCTTACAGTGTGGGGCGCGAAGACATGCATCAATCAAGTCAAAAAAGTCTCATTTATTAGTTCTGCTTATGTGTCTCACGCAGTCAGCCAATAATGTTCATAACCTGCACAAGGTCTTCTCATCGCTGTTCTTCAGTCACAGTAGCATATATTCATACTTGTATGTATTTGATTTTAACACAGGTTTAATAACATCACTTTCCGTTTTGGAAACCACACACTCAATGTGGAAACAGACCACTTCCGGTCAAAGTGACCTTGATTTGACGCAATCATGACGTGTGATTGGTGTCTTGTTAGTTAGAGTTATGCTTATGATACAGTCTGAATATAATCATACAATGCTTTTGTTGCTTATTTTTATAATTATCTTTACTGGTTGAAAAATGCTTCGAACTTTCATGGATTAAGCGAGTGGTTGATAAAACCAATTGTGCAACGTTCTGTAATGGGGCTGCTCAATGATAAGAGAATTTGTAAGAATGAAAATAAAACTTGCGTAATATCTATTTCATAAACATAGTCTTTCGACTCTAGGGCCACCTTGAAATTTGTGGTAAAACAATCCAGATGATCAAGTTCCATTATACATGTCATCGTAAGAGCTCGTTATGTTCTGGATGCCTCGCAGTATTCACAGTATACTCCTTTCCCGACATGAAATATACCTATTTCTTTCCTCATTAAAGCTACAAACACGTTTTGTAAAGATATTTCATTTCTGTAACTGACTTAAAACTATTCTTTTACAGGAGTGTTCCTGATACCATTTTTATTCTTCACCTTTATGGGCGCAATTCCATGTGTTTTCTTGGAGATGGTGATTGGCCAGTACTCCCAAAGCGGACCTGTTAACGTTTGGAATTTATGTCCACCATTTAAAGGTAACCTGAAACTGTATAAGCTGTAAATTGAAATTGAATACACAGTCAAGCCTTTAAAGTCGATAAATAGAGGTTATCTCCCGAGTGTGTTTGGGGATAGAAAGATCCTGTATTAGGAATAAACATTGTATTTAGCGAGCCTTGGCATAGATTGAACATAGGCTCCAGACCATGGAGCATCTTCAACGGTCAGTCAGCAATACACATGCCACTAGAACAGGGTCGTCCGTTTCACGAAAACAACAAACACCAACACATCTCAACCCCGACAACCCTAACAGTCGGGAGGAATTATCCAATCGGTACACATTGTGTCTCTTCTACCGTAGGGTTGGATGCGGTAGCAGTATTAAACTAATGTCTGTCACTGGCCACAGAAATCGTCGAAGTATAGTAACATTCTACAAGGCTAGTGCTGTTCAAATAACTAATGATGAAGGCAACTCTTGTCGACAACCCCCGTCTGCCTGATGCAATAATTTAACGTTAGCTAACGTCCAATCCTCCGTGTCACAACTGCCGTCTAATTCTGGTATGTCTGCTTTATTGATAAAAAGTATGGTGGTCTAACTTTGCCTAGTTTTTATATACTTTCTTTTGTCTAACAGTTTAATGATATTTATGTTCTCTAGATAGTTTGAAATAAATCTGGGATATGTTGCTACTTATTATAATGTCTTTTGACGAAAGCTTTTTATGCCGTACAGATTTGTCAAGTCACACCATGACTAAAATATTTCAGACGTGCCTTTAGTTTTTCACTCACTCACTCACTCACTCACTCATGTGACTTAATATAGATACTTTGGCAGGTTAGGTAGACGAGATATGTAAAGTGATTATTGGCTTTGAGACAGGATTATGTTTTCAGTCAGCGCTTCATGAAAGGAACAGACAGTCCTTTTTAATCGATACCATACCATTTTCATAATATCCAGCTTGCACAGTGAACAATGTCATGTTTTAGGGTAAAACGTGGGGACAAATAACGTTATTCCTGCATTTTCGGGAGCATGTCATACTTTCAAACAAAATCCCAGCACCACACATCACCCCATCCCGCCCACCCAAATTAACACAAATGGTCGACCAGGAAGAAAATAGACCAGAACTGAAATGCTCAATAGCGGGGTATCCGTCAAGGCATCCACTACTCGGATTCCCCAAGGCCTGGTATCCAGAAAGGTATTCAGTTAAGGATACCTAGCTTCTAAATGACTTAGTATTCGTATCCACAAGGTTGTTAGTTGCCGGATACCAAGAATAGGGCATCCGCTACTGGACACCAGGATTCATTCCAGGTAAGTGTCGAATGGTATCCCCGAGGATTCCGGAGGATTGAAGCTACCCTTTCAGGGATTAAATATATTTATATGATACCATACAAAATGAAATCAATGTAATGTAGTACTGAGTTTCTTTGATATTTCAGGCAAGCTATCTCAAAGACTTATGGTGGTTTAACGTGCATTCCTGATAATATGGAAAGATATATATCATTCACATTGACTAAAACTGTACATTATACGAAACATTGACGAAACTAAATTACCACCCGTTGAATCATTCTATAGTAACTTAACAGAATCTAAAATAACCGATGTTCTGGCGGTGTGGGATAAATTAGGTTGAGTACTGAGTAGTACTGAGTTTCTTTGATATTTCAGGCATTGGTCTCGGGATTGCTCTAGTTAATTGGATCTATGTTACCTACTACATTGCCATATTCGCCTGGTTTATGTACTACTTCTACCACTCGTTCTTCGTCAACCTCCCCTGGACCAGCTGTGACCAGTCCTGGAACTCCCCTGGATGTATAGCAGACATCGACAACAGCGTCCGGAACAGCACATCAGCCAATGCTACCCAACTCATTCCCAGTGCTCCTGACGAACACAACCTCACTGACATCACCAAAACAGTCCCTGGTATGACTGCTGCAGAAGAATTTTGGAGGTACATTTAAGTTAATTAGACCTATTGGTTGAAACTGTATGAAATTATAGTTACCATGTACATATTTGGGACTGAACATGAATTAATTAGAACTACAAGAACTCGACAAGCTCGTCACATTCGGTCTTGTATATGTATCATGAGTCACAATTTGTTAACCCCTAGGCAGCTCACTGTCGTGTTTTCTGTGAAACGAGGACGTATATCTCGAAAACCTCGTCACTTTCGGTCTTGTGTATGTACATGAATCAAAAATTGTAAGCCGCTGTGCAGGCCCACCGTTGTGTTTCACGGTGAATGCTGGTCAGTTAGCAGTTTACGTTTTACACAGAGCCTCATATGTTTGGCACACGAGAGAGTTTATTTTGGCACATTTGCGACAGGCCCCAAAGCATGTCCGTCACAGGTTACTTTGCGCGTTAGGTAATATATATTCCCAGTTGAAAAAGTACATGTAGTTCCGGTCGCAATAAGAACGTATTATGAGTTTTTGCTTTTCTGTAACGTTTAGGTTACGTATTTGGTTGCTCTGTTTCTGCGTTCTGATGATTCAACCAATTCCAATTATTTATTTGACCAAAAGACATCTCATTCATGCCTAAGGTATCGTGTACGTTCCACAGTCTCCGAGTTATGTATATCAAACTCACCTTTACGGTCCTCCTTTTCACGAGCATGTCAATAATGTTACTGCCTTTGGGCGGTCGGGTAGCCTAGTGGTTAAAGAGTTCGCTCGTCACGCCGAAGACCCGGGTTCGATTCCCGACATGGGTACAATGTGTGAAGCCCATTTCTGGTGTCCCCGCCGTGATATTGCTGGAATATTGCTAAAAGCGGCGTAAAACCAAACTCACTGACTCACTCACTCACTGTTACTGCCTTTACCACTTCGTACAATTTTTTCTTTATCAAGTCAAATGTCTGCACTGTTGATCCTCCTTTCTAGATTCCAAGTACTACAGATGACTGACGGCCTGGAAGACCTCGATGGCATACGCTGGCCGCTCGTTGGGTGCATGGCCGTTACCTGTGTGATCATGTTCTTATTCCGAGGGATCAAAGTGTCGGGAAAGGTAAACAAAGGTCCAATTCATGATGGTTGGTAAATTACTTATGCCAATTGTAATTGCATAAAGCCAGGTGGAACATTTTAGCTCACCTGACTGAAAGTCAAGTAAGTTTATGTCATGGCATGTTTGACCCGCTGGCATGTTTGACCTTGTCAGTGATCCATCGTGTGTCGTAAACATCTTCTCAGAAACCACTGGACCAAAGAAGCGGAAACTTCACATACTTGTTCCCACCAGTGAAGACATCTCAAATGTTAAAGACCTTCGAACCCGATATGCAATATAGACACCACGGCAGCCATATTACAGATCCTATTTACTGCCATTCTTGTGCCAAATGGTAGGGACATTTGGTACCTGATTAGTTAGTAGTGGGGATCAACATAATTACATGGCACTTTTGACATCATCTTCTCAGAAACCACTGGACCGATGAAGGTGAAACTTGTAATCTTTGGTGAGAACAAGCATGTCAATTGCTTGAATTGTTCAATAGGTTCAAGAGGTTCAAGAGGTTCGAATCCGATTTTTTAAAATGTAATATAATGTGGCACCTGTGTAATTACTAGTGGGGGCTTAACACTTGTTTTGGGTTTTTATTGTTGCTATATTAGAAACTTTGACTTGTACGTTTTCACTTTAACCATGCATCTAAATTATCTCAATATACTTATCTGTCCCTGTAACCTTCATCTCCTCGCCTGACTGACAAAGCTGAACCTTGGCTTGTATGTTTCTCTTCCAGATGCAATCCTATTTTATTTCATTAGATTTTAGTGTTAGCTTTCAGTCCTTAATTTTTATGTAGAAAATATTTGAATATCAATGTTGACAGCAACTCTTGTTTAGGGTCTGCTTTTGTTGGAATTTTTAACTGGTGACCGTAAATCCAGGTGAGCTACAGTGCTGTGGCATTATTTTTAATGAAATGTAACAAACACGTATTTTCAAACATATAAATTGTGTAAACCGTTAAACATTGATATTTATCATTCGAATAACTCATTTCCTTATTGTGTTTTCATTTGTACAGATGTGGATTGAGGCCTGTAGATCTGCTCTATTCTCTTTGAATATTGGCCTTGGGAACATCATAACTATGGCCGGGCACAACAAAATAACACGCAACTGTTTTAGGTATATGAACATAAAATTCATTAAGCTGCACAAACACACAATTTGATAATTCCAAGATGAGGTCACACTATCATCATTATTCCAATAAACAGTGACAGTTTTATTAGTTTTGATTAGCGATATCGGGCGGTGTCTCCCAAACACTTCCTCGTTAATACAAGCTACCTTGTATAAAGCTTTTACCAGGTATGTAACATACATGGACACAAACGTGTTCCTCAATATAAAGTCGCCAACATGTAAAAATATAGCGAACTCCCTAATTTAAAAAAAGAAATCGGATTTCATCTGCTCATAAGAATGTAGTGATCAATTTTTAAAATACTTCAATCATCGGGAGAATCACATTCAAATGTGGTATGTATTTGTAATACACCAAGAGTGTAGAGAATATAACCCTTATGTATTTCATTCACCTTACGAACTGCATAATGATTTAGAGGGCCCTATCCACAACAATCATTTGCAATGCTAAAGCATTATTAAATTGATCAGTTAAAGTAGCTGTAAACGAAACAATATCTGTGACTTATAAAGTAAGTATGAATAGTGAACACTTTTTATAATGGTATCCAACTGTTTGCAGTATGTGAAACGTCATACTTTCAATAATATTCACGATAGAAACCTTTCTGTTTCAGGGATGCATTACTTGTCAGCATGGTTGATATTCTTTTTCTTGTATTAGCTGGATTCGCGTTCTTTGCCACTATATGACATGTTGCCCACCAACGTGGCGTTCCTGTAGAAACTTTCGAATCATCAGGTATCTGGAGAACTAATGATGTGCATATATGCAGATTGATTTGTGATAAACCTTCATAATATCTATTTAAATAATGAACTAATAATATTCAGAATCAGTTAATTTGTAAAGATATTCTTAAATTAAAGTGACAAAACCATTTCTATAATCATCAGAAATCTCTGCTGATAGAGAGTCTGTAGTATGATTCCGACTATATCATAAGCATGTGTTTATGAATCGCTGTCAATTAGTGATGAAGTGATAAACGTCAGAGACCTGCATCACTTCGGGTTAAAAGCGGCGTTAAACCCAACTCACTCACTCACTCACTCTATTTTGCCGCGTACGTGTCCAAATCTTGCATTAAAGTTATCACACAGTAAGATAATACCGCTAGTTTGATAATTGTAGAACTGATTTTGAAGATCTATTCAGTGTCAAGTATACACCTAGAACCAATTTGGGGGAATTTCGCGTTATTTACGTGTCGATGCTTTGCTTTAACGATTTTACGATCTATCCAGTTCTAAAAAGTTGTCGATACCCATGAGACTTGCGCTTTAACTAAATAGTTTATCCTGCTTTCTTAAACTTTGCAGCCATGGGTTGTGTTTTTGAATGGAGACTAGATATTTTTATCAGCTACAGCTGCAAAACCAGAGGTTTTTTTAATTAAACCGATATTTGATTCATACAATTTCGGGGACAATTCATGGTTTTCGTTAAAATCGTCTGAGCCACAACTCAGAAAGGCCGCAATACAACTGAAATACTGTTAAAAGCGCGGCTGAACACAAAGAACTTCAGAACGACATTTGCAACAACGACATGGATCAGAAACTTCGCTTTTTGGATAACCTTGAACCTCTCGGTGTGCAGGTGTTCGTTGATGACGCATTCCACGGCTTTCGCTTTGAGTCATTGCTTTAAAAAAGATAATACTAAGAATCTGTTCACTGGTCTTTTCAAACCCATACATGTGAAAATAAATATATGACGTCAACGTCAGAGACCAACTCGAGCATCCGCCGAAACAGACACAACCGGTTGTAAAAGCTAAATAGCAGCATGTCATGGAGATCTTATGTATCTTAAAAAGGTTATTTAAGTACATTGTGCAAGAACATGATACACTAAACAAGGATGGCTGTTGGTTGGTTTGTTGTTTAACGCCGCACTCAGCAATATTCCAGCTATATGTCGGCGGTCTGTAAATAATCAAATCTGGACCAGACAATCCAGTGTTTAATATCATGAGCATCGATCCATGCAATTGGTCAGCGATCCTGACCACCCGATCCCGTTAGTCGCCTCTAACGACAAACATAGTCGCCTTTTACGGCAAGCATGGGTTGCTGACGACCTATTCTTCCCCGGATCTTCACACAAGAATGGAAATGAAATAAATATATAATCTTGATTAAACTAAACTAAACGTTCTGAATGATACGGGTTTGGGATACTTCAGTGGTAAACAAACCAAGAAGATACGCGTTGGAATTGGTCTTCAGCAAACCATGCTAACGGGATCGGGTGCTATGGCTCGTTGGATTGGTTTATGCATGTCATCGTATCTCAAGTGCGTACATCAATGTTCATGATGTCAGTCACTGGATTGTCTGGTCCAGACTCGGTTATTTATCGACAGCCGTCATATAGCTGGAATATTGATGAGTGCGGCGTTAAACAACAAACAAACTAGAATGGAAAAAGCGTTCTCCGACAAGATGTGATTCCCAACATGGGTACAATGTGTGAAAAGAATTTCTGGTATTCTTCCTCCTGACATTGCTGGGATATTGCTTTAAACGCCGAAACAAACACTCAATCACTCTGTATCTGTTTTTCCTAGCAATTGTATTACCTGTGTAAATCATGTTTAATTCAACATTGGAAGCCTTCAATTAATTACCGGTCAAATATACAGGTGATACAGTTTTATACCATGGATATTTTGCAAGTAGAAAATGCATGCAATGTTTACTCACGCCTTTCTACACGTCAAATCCTCCTCATTAAATCATGCCATTTATGGTGAAAGGGGTTATTATCCATTATCAATTGGAATGTTCTAGTCTTGTAGGAAGCAGAGTGAGTTGCTTGACTTGTGGGTAGCAGAGAGTGTTGCTTGTCTTGTGGGAAGCAGGGTGATCTGCTTGTCTTGTGGGATGCAGGATGTGTTACTTGTCTTGTGGGAAGCAGGTTGTGTTGCTTGTCTTGTTTGGTGCAGGTTGTGTTGCTTGTCTCGTGTGAAGCAGGATGTGTTGCTTGTCTTGTGGGATGCAGGTTGTGTTGCTTGTCTTGTGGGATGCAGGTTGTGTTGCTTGTTTTGTTTGGTGCAGGTTGTGCTGCTTGTCTTTTGTGAAGCAGGATGTGTTGCTTGTCTTGTGAGAAGCAGGGTGTGTTGTTGTCTTGTGGGAAGCAGGTTGTGTTGCTTGTCTTGTGAGAAGCAGGGTGTGCTGCTTGTCTTGTGGGAAGCAGGGTGTGTTGCTTGTCTTGTTGGAAGCAGGGTGTGTTGCTTGTCTTGTGGGATACAGGGTGTGTTGTTGTCTCGTGGGATGCAGGTTTTGCTGCTTGTCTTGTGGGAAGCAGGGTGTGCTGCTTGTCTTGTGGGAAGCAGGTTGTGTTGCTTGTCTTGTGGGATGCAGGTTGTGTTGCAGGGTGTGTTGCTTGTCTTGTGGGAAGAAGGGTGTGTTGCTTGTTTTGTGGGAAGCAGGTGGTGTTGTTTGTCTCGTGGGATGCAGGTTGTGCTGCTTGTCTTGTTGGAAGCAGGGTGTGCTGCTTGTCTTGTGGGATGCAGGTTGTGTTGCTTGTCTTGTGGGAAGCAGGGTGTATTGCTTGTCTTGTTGGAAGCAGGGTGTGCTGCTTGTCTTGTGGGATGCAGGTTGTGTTGCTTGCCTTGTGGGAAGCAGGGTGTATTGCTTGTCTTGTGGGATGCAGGTTGTGTTGCTTGTCTTGTTGGAAGCAGGGTGTGCTGCTTGTCTTGTGGGATGCAGGTTGTGTTGCTTGTCTTGTGGGAAGCAGGGTGTATTGCTTGTCTTGTGGGATGCAGGTTGTGCTGCTTGTCTTGTTGGAAGCAGGGTGTGCTGCTTGTCTTGTGGGATGCAGGTTGTGTTGCTTGTCTTGTGGGAAGCAGGGTGTATTGCTTGTCTTGTGGGAAGCAGGATGTGTTGCTTGCCTTGTGGGATGCAGGGTGAGTTGCTTCTCTTGATGGATGCAGGTTGTGTTGCTTGTCTTGTTGGAAGCAGGTTGTGTTGCTTGTCTTGTGGGAAGCAGGATGTGCTGCTTGTCTTGTGGGAAGCAGGATGTGTTGCTTGTCTTGTGGGATGCAGGTTGTGTTGCTTGTCTTGTGGGATGCAGGTTGTGTTGCTTGTCTTGTGGGATGCAGGTTGTGTTGCTTGTCTTGTGGGATGCAGGGTGTGTTGCTTGTCTTGTGGGAAGCAGGTTGTTTTGCTTGTCGTGTGGGATGCAGGGTGTGCTGCTTGTCTTGTGGGATGCAGGTTGAGTTGCTTGTCTTGTGGGAAGCAGGTTTTGTTGCTTATCTTGTGGGATGCAGGGTGTGCTGCTTATCTTGTGGGATGCAGGTTCAGTTGCTTGTCTTGTGGGAAGCAGGTTGTGTTGCTTGTCTTGTGGGATGCAGGGTGTGTTGCTTGTCTTGTGGGAGCAGGATGTGTTGCTTGTCTTGTGGGAAGGAGGGTGTGTTGCTTGTCTTGTGGGATGCAGGTTGTGTTGCTTGTCTTGTGGGAAGCAGGTTGTGTTGCTTGTCTTGTGGGATGCAGGGTGTGTTGCTTGTCTTGTGGGAAGCAGGTTGTGTTGCTTGTCTTGTGGGAAGCAGGGTGTGCTGCTTGTCTTGTGGGAAGCAGGATGTGTTGCTTGTCTTGTGGGATGCAGGTTGTGTTGCTTGTCTTGTGGGATGCAGGTTGTGTTGCTTGTCTTGTGGGAAGCAGGTTGTGTTGCTTGTCTTGTGGGATGCAGGGTGTGTTGCTTGTCTTGTGGGAAGCAGGTTGTTTTGCTTGTCGTGTGGGATGTAGGGTGTGCTGCTTGTCTTGTGGGATGCAGGTTGTGTTGCCTATCTTGTGGGATGCAGGGTGTGTTGCTTGTCTTGTGGGATGCAGGATGTGTTGCTTGTCTTGTGGGAAGCAGGTTGTGTTGCTTATCTTGTGGGATGCAGGTTCAGTTGCTTGTCTTGTGGGAAGCAGGTTGTGTTGCTTGTCTTGTGGGATGCAGGGTGTGTTGCTTGTCTTGTGGGAAGCAGGATGTGTTGCTTGTTTTGTAGGTCCCAGATGTGTTGCTTCTCTTGTGGGATGCAGGTTGTGTTGCTTGTCTTGTGGGATGCAGGATGTGCTGCTTGTCTTGTGGGAACCAGATGTGTTGCTTGTCCATTAGAAAGCAGGGTAAGCGGCTTGGCTTGTGATGAACTCAAAACGTCAACGACGGAGATCTCGAATATCTGAAGAAACAAATTCCATGGGGTGTAAAAGGGAAAATAGTGATAAAATGAATGGATCACTGAAGCTTATTGCACCAAGTGTTCGCGAAAAGAGAACGTCACAGGAAACAATTGACATTAACAAGTGCTTGTGAGTAAGGAGGTATGAACACTCCATGTAGAGGTCAGAATATTGTATAGCATCGTGTTGTCAAGTTAAGTGTCAGGTTTTATAATATACACTCTTGACAAGGTCAATATGCGAAAATAAGCACCCGAGGACGCGAACCCTGAGGTTGACCGGATCGAGGCCGCATGTCTGTTTTCGCATATTTACTCGTCAAGAGTGATCATTTGTTTGTTGTAACGAAATTCACTTTAAGGTTCATGAAGTCTACAAACCGTCCTCTGTTTTATTACAAAAACTTAGCTGCGAACCGTAAAACGTTCGTACCAGACACCATCTTGTTTTCTAGCAAACGAGTCAATATTCATCACGTGACAGGTCAATACTGATCATGTGACGAGTCAATATTCGAGGACAGTGTCAGTCACATGATTTCGGGGTCTACATTGAAATGTATTGCTACGTGGTACGGATAATCGTGGAATTTAAAGAAAAAGTTCATGTTCTAAAGTGTCAAAGTATTTGAGACATGTAATGTCATAAATGTCAGAAACTGCAGCGATGCTTCATTGTATATTGTCAGAACTAAACCAGTGCTCGTACATCGTGTAATAGCATTAAAATGAATTCCCCAAAAGCATGTGTCATTGGATAGTGAACAAGGGAACATGCTTAACCTGTTTTCAAACCTGTTTGGGTGAATGTGCAGAGGACTGCGGAACAGTTTCTAATTTGTTTGATGAAAGTATTTTCATTGTTAAACGGGTTACACGACATAGTTTTGACCTAAAGATGGTGCTGGGGAGATGCTCTATCCTGGGTCATCACGGGGCGTAACTTTGTAAGTGGGAGATTGGTTGGATAATGTTGGTTGTAACCAACATCAGGGGACCTTCGTGATATCAGTGACCGCCTCCGTGGTCTAGTGGACTGAGCGACTTCCCGGAGAAGGGAAGGTCAAAAGACGTAACAAAAATGGGACTTGTTGTTACCCTGCCTGGCCTTTGGCATCAGTGGGATGAAACTAGGACTGGTCGCTTCGGAGTCTGTTTATTGTGTCTGAGTGGGGGTTCTCCACTCTCCAAAAGACTGCATGACAAGAGGGAAGACTTCAACTTTCCAAAAGCCAACGTTCCCTTCATGTCGAGCAACACTCATGCAGCTCCAGTCCTTGGTGTCTACTTTTGAGGTACGATTGAGCCTGCTCTTTCTACCAAGTTGTTTGATCAAGGTTACAGACATTTAAGATCTCAGTGAACCTTTCAAAAAGTTTTATGTTCCAAATGTTACCGTTTTTTTCAGGTGAACAATTGACCTCCTTTGCATGTGTTTGTGACTAGTGCCATCGCTGGGGCAGGATACGCTCACCTTTTTGGGGACACCTGGAATCGTATCATCGGGATTTCTTTTGCCACTTGTATTTACTTGAACAGTTTGAATAAAATGGTGTTCGTGTAGGAAAATGAAACTGTTGGTGGTTTCTGATATTTGAGAATTTTCTTCTGTATATGTAAAGGGCTTTCCGGACAAACACACGCACACGCACACTCACACGCACACGCAAACGCACGCACACGCACGCACGCACGCACACACACACACACACAGATACACACATATACACGTGCATGGAATCCGTGTCTGTGAATCCGGTCAAAGTGACACACTCGACAGGGTCAGTGTATCACAAACTGCGTAGGGCTTCCTACTCTGTCGCGAGTTGCTACCTCACAATCCCCCCCCCCCCCCCCCCCCCCCCCCTGCAGTTGTGGTAACGACACTCGTTTTACATTCCAACAAGATTTAACATGACGGATTCACAATAACTAGTGAGTTGAAAAGATGTACTGTACCCAGTGAGGCGTCCTATTAGGGAAACGCCTTTTCAGTTTTATGTCACAGTGGCGCCAGCTGAATGAGGGGGAAAAGCCGGAAGTGATGCAGGTCTCAGGCGATCCTTGAATAAGTGGTGGTCAAACACATTGCGAAAAGATGTATGTGCGATTCAGATATAACTTGGTTGTTAATCTGTGTCATCGTGACTTTCTCTTACAAAGTTAGCGGCTCTACTAAGAAATATACACATAGTGTTGAGGGTTTTGGTTTTGGTTTTGGTTTTGGTTTGTTGTTTTACGCCGCATTCAGCAATATTCCAGCTATATGACGGCGGTCTGTAAATAATCGAGTCTGGACCAGACAAACCAGTAATTTACATCATGAACATCGATCCACGCAATTGGCATCGATGACATGCATCAACCAAGTCAGCGAGCCTGACCACCCGATGCCGTTAGTCGCCTTTTACGACAAGCATAGTCGTCTTTTACGGCAAGCATAGGTTGCTGAAGACCTATTCTACCACGGAATCTTCACGGGTAGTGTTGAGGGTAACGAAAACGTTACTGTACGAGTATGTGTTAATGTCAGGTTGGGAGTATTATTATTAATCTCATTGGTTCATTAATAATGTGTGGGGTATACGATTGGATAATATACTACTCAACTCTTGATAGGGACGATCAGATATGGTGCTGACAACCTTAGAAACATGGGCAAACCGGGATACGAACCCACAATCATAAGTTTCTGACGTGCCCAAGGGCCACAACTCTGCACAGCGAAATGCGGCCCCCTAGACGGCTTGGTCACCTGTGTCCCCTATTTTTAAATCCAATGAAATCTTTTATATCATTGAAACCTTTGTTCCTTTTGACACTAATGTGATTGACACGATTCAGGAAAATCATGGCAAATAGCTTAAATGTCACTCTTGCGTACCAAGTTGTCCGATTCCCCATTGTTCTCGGTGTCTTATATTTGGTACCTCCCAATATGTTGTCTGACATTGGGAGAGTTCCCTTTTGTCAATCTAGGTAATGCAGAAGACTGCATTGTTTTGGAGTCAACACATTCCCTAAAAAGTTCTTGGTGGGTCCCATTCGCTGTCTGGGCTGCGTATAGAGTTGATGATGAGCCTAACCAGCCTGACTGTGCAAGGATCACGCAAACTCTCTTTGCGGCTTTTTTACTTTATTCTGTGGATAATAACACTAATACTAATACTACTACTACTACAAAAAAAAAAAAAAAAAAAAAAAAAAAAAATAATAATAATAATAAGAAGAAGAAGAAGAATATTTCAGGGCGATTCTTTAAGCCCTTTGCTTTTCTGTTTGTCAATAAATCCTTCAAGCTTTTGCTTAGAAAAGATGATGGTTATCATCCTGGATCTCCTCAGCACAGATCCCAACTTATTGCCAATGGAGGATCCACACCAAACAGATTCTGCTTGTCAAGTCCTTTTCTAATGACATCAGCATGTCCTTTGGGCTCGACAAATGCAACATTATTCATCTGTAAGGCAAGGTAGAAGAAGGGATCAGTTTACTTGGGGGAGTAGTTATTGACAATCTCGAGGATTAATGTCAGGCCTATAGGTACTAGGGTATGCAGGTTATGGACAAACTCCAGAATGACCATATCAAGGAAAACCTTCGGGCAGAGTACAAATGTAGACTTGAGAATATTTGAAGTTCAGAGCTAAACGCTCGCAATACAGTCAAAGCTACAATTCTTTTGGTTTTTTTGATTTCATGTAACAAGAAATTCACTGTACTGACACCCTCACACGAAGAAACATGTCAGACAATGGATCCCACCACCCTGAATCTTCCCTTATATTTACGAATTATAATAGGAGGGCGTGGTTTGAGTAACGAGGAGCCCCTTCATGATAGAATTGTATTGTGCACTTTTGCACATATTTATTTGTCTGATTACCTTCTTGTGAAACATGTCAAAACTCATGATGAAAACAAGGCATCCCACAGTTATCGTAAACAAGCCAAGGATGTGCGACATAATCTCAATGTTAATGTTGATTTTTGTTGATGGTTATGTGTGTTGCTGGACGATACAGAAATGAGTGTCAACCAAGCGAAGTGCCATATCAAATCGGCCCAGACTCAGTTTTCAGGGAGAGGCTATCTCAACGACCACTGCATCGAGTTTATGTGGAGTGTAGTGAGAGGATCAGCAACACTGCAGAGTACTTTGCTTGGATGTAGTCGACTGGCCTGAAAAGTGAAACAGAAGGCTTTCTGTTTGCTGCTCAAGACCATTCACCTCTAACGATAAGCACGGGTTACTGAAGACCTATTCTAACCCTGGTCTGATTTTTAGGCGGGCCGGTTCATCTTTGGTAGGGTTCAGAGTGACTAGATCTCGATCACAAGTACATTTCGGAAAACGGAGAGCTAAAGAAGTTACATTTGTTTTATCTCATGGGATTGTTAAGGAGCAATACATGTAGGCTTAGGCCCAGTGCTCATGAGAAGTATGGTTTTGGGAATTGTCAGCCTTCATAAGACTTGTAGCGTCTGCAAAGGGTACTGCATTCTCAATTCTAACTCGAGTGACATTGGCAGCTAGTCCAAGCCTGTTTGTACTAGGGGCAATCTCTGTAGGTAGCACAATGATCATCATACCAGGGACGTCTGTTAATTGAATTAGTTCCCACACTTTACTTGCATTCTGAGGCAATTTGTGGATATATGACCAAATTGCTGACATTCCAACATCTGCTTGCTTGGAGGTATAAATAATCTGACATTATTAGTGGAATATTCAGGCAACCGTGTTGTAGTTAAGGTTAACTCAATAGAAGCAGTCGTTTGACTTAAATAACCTTTTGATCCTTTGATTTGTCAGGGATGTCCTCAACATTTACATTAGCGTCTTCATTGTATTTGACTCCCATCGACTCAGTTAGACATATTGAAACAGAACTTCTCATATGTGTCACATTATCTGGAAACACCACTTGTCTACTTAAAGCTGATCCAAAAATCTCGTCTCCATTTCCTTCATTAACTCAATATCACTGATTTTGTTGTGTAACTAACTAACTAACTAACTAACTAACTAAAGCAAAGACCGGAGAAATTTCGAATTCAGTTTAACTTCCCCTTAACACCGTGTTTACAATTGTGACTTTTGGACACCATGGTAGTGACGCCTCAGCAATATATGCATCAGTTGAAGTTTCATCACGGAAAGAAATCAAAATCATATTCACAAAATCAGATTCCATACTGATAACAGTAGACCCATGAAGATCTGTGGTGGAATATGTTTTCAGCAACCTATGCTTGCCGTAAAAAGCGATTATGCTTGTCGTAAGAGGCGACTTACGGGAATGGGTGGTCAGACTCGCTAACTTGGTTGATGCAGTCATCGTATCCCTATTGCATGGATCGATGCTCATGATGTCAATCATTGGATTGTTTGGTCCAGACTCGATTATTTACAAGACTGCCACCATATAGCTGGAATATTGCTGAGTGCGGCGTTAAACAAGAAACAAAAAACTGATGGCAGTAAGAGGTCTGTTAAGAGGCCAACAAACCAGAGCCACGCGTAGCACGGAAACAATGCACTAAGAAATTCTGATAATCACAACTGAAAGTCATCTTGGTTATTTAAAAAAAAGAACTGCAAACAGGAAAATAACGCCACAATCAGCAATACTCCAGCTGTTTGACGGCGGTCTGTGAATTATCGAGTCGGGACCAGACAATCCAGTGATTGATGTGAACATCAATCTACGCAATTGGAATACGACATGCATCAACCACGTCAGCGAGCCTGACTACACGATCCCGATAGCCGCCTCTTACAACAAGTATAGTCGCCTCGTAAGTCCAGCATGGGTTGCTGTAGACCTATTCTAACCCGGATCTTCACGGGCCCACATACATGTATACTACTCCACTTTTCATAGGGATATCTTTATATTTCCATCATCAGAAAAATAATTACTCCTGATATGTGTATGATATTATATATATAATATGTGTATAATAAAATATGTGTATATTTAACTATCTCTGACTTATTTGACCCTCCCTATCAAAAGTTGAGTTGTATATTATCCACCCATATGACACACACATTATTAACGAATCTATGAGTTTAACAATGATAGTCCTTCCCAACCTCACATTACCCACACATCTGCCGTATATACCTCCAACACTGTGTGTATATTTCTTAGAGTCACTCGCTTTGTAAGAGAAAGTCAAATGGTGTTCACAATGACACAGATGAACAACCCAGTATATCTGAATCGCACATACATCTTTTAGCCATAATGTATAGTCTGGAAGTTAATTTAAGGAACCGACGTTTACTACAATATCTGAAAAACTATTGGACCTACTCCAGTCAAAGTTGGTATGAGATTATTAAACAGTCATACATAACTGGATATGACATTTAAAGACAATCGGTGCATGAATTAAAAATCTGTCTATTTAGCTATCACTATATTTCATCAACAACCAGACCTGTTCTTCACGGGTGGAACGAGCATTCATTGAAACAGCCATCTGCATAATGCTACCCCTGCGTCACAGGGCAATATGACACAGTTGAACCAATCAACTCAACTCGAAAGGATGCACGGGAATCGAATACGGTGTTAGCGTTGGGCGTCTCATCGTGCGTGATTCCCGTGCACCCTTTCGAGTAAATGTAATATCCAGTTATGTATGACTGTTTAATAATCTCATACCAACTTTGACTGGAGTAGGTCCAATAGTTTTTCAGATATTGTAGTAAACGTCGGTACCTTAAATTACCTTTCAGACTATATGTTCGAACACGAACTATACAAGTATCGCACTTACAATTATAAATCCCTTGCTCGTGAGGTTCACTAAAGTGGTAAACGTCTGAGACCTGCATCACTTCGGGCTTTCCTCCACAATAAACTGACAAGCCGTGATAGAAATGATATACCGTTCAAAGAAGCGTTTAACCTAACCGTTTTTTCTGTTTCAATACATCACATGTCTATGATAAACCACAAAAGTGCATGGCAGGTTACTTGGTGCTGCTTTCATGAGTGTAGACGCTTTTGTTATGGGAACATAAGACAGACAGGTGGTTGGTAAACATACATAAAAATGTGACCTACATGTATAAGCACAAAACTGACATCAGAAGTATGTACATTCAGTGCATGTCATGTTGACCGAATTGATTGTGTGCAGTAATGGGTTGTTTATGAATAAATTATTTAATTGTAATTTGTACGTATTGATACTTTCTAATAGAACATACATACTATATATTCCGCTTTAACGGATCATCAGTCCACTGTTCGCACTGTTTTGATTCTCGAGCCGAAGATATATTACTACTGATGGGTATGGGTGTGTAAATTGTTTACGCCACACATGCATTATTTCAGCCAGAATCACAAGTTATTAGCACTGGTGATATTTAAAGACCTGTCGACGATAGCCATTATGATAACTAGATTATCACAGGTCTTATTAGATGATAAAACATTGAAACGTTAAGAGGTGAGGTGAAGTTGGGTTTAACGTCGCGTCCAAGATTATTGCACTTATATAGCGACGAGCATGTACGTGTGTGTGTTTGTGTGGCTGCTTGTACTAGTCCGGACTGATGCCGATTTATAGTGCTAGCTCACTGAGATACCATGCCACAGTTTAACATGAATACCCCACTCAGACACAGTATACTGACTCCGAGCCGAGCGCCGAGCGCCAGACAGGGTAACAACAAGTACCATCTTTTAACGTCTTTTGGTATGACGCGGCCGGGGATCGAACCCCGGACCTTCCGCTTGCCGGGCGGACGCTCTACCACAAGACCACGGAGGCGGTCTGAAACGTTAAGACTTTTATTTGAAAGTTCTTGATGGCCAAAAACAAAAGGTAGATTAACACAAGAAGGACCATGGGGACCTCCGGTACCTCTGCTTCATGCGTGTGCATGTGGGTATGGGTGTGCGGGTGCGTGAGATATCATGCCGCAGTTCATGGATACCCCACTCAGACACAGTCTACTGAATCTAAGCCGACCTGTCCTTGTGTTATCCCTCAATGGAGAGGGAAAAGAAAGCATACATACACATCCATGATTCCTACAGGCCAACAGGAGTACGACCAATACTGGTGATCATAGTTCTTGTTTGTTGCTTAACGCCACACTCAGCTATATGACGGCGGTCTGTACATAATCGCAATTGGAATACGATGACATGCATCAACTAAGTCAGGGCGCCTGACGACCCGGTCCCGTTAGCTGCCTCTTTATACGAAAAGCAGAGTCGCTTTTTACGACAAGCATGGGTTGCTGAAGACCTATCCTGGTGATCATAAGCATATCAAAGATACCTGTTGGTGAACGACCACCTCTGAGGCCCAACGGGAGTTAGAATGATATGGTCGTGTGCATACATAGATCCATAATACCTACACTGTTACTTCATAAGTACACAGTCATTATTCAGTGTTGTGTAAAATTTGACTTTCTATGAAACAGAAACGTCTTATTCATGTATTGCTTTCGCTCTGTGATGCATTGTGTTCGTCACTTGACACGCAACTTTCCCCCATGAATACATTATCATCGGGACAATTTAACCAAGTCACATGATGGCCGTGTGCAAAATAAGTTACATCGTATATACCCGAATTATAAATTAAAGAGGGCGAGATATTGAACGTTACACTGTTGATGATGGGCGGCTTCTACATATTGACAATCAGCTTTGTTGTGATTCCTCTGGTTTGGGATAAAACCATCGCTGGTAAGTACATAAACAAGAAGTTAAGAGGCGAGGTGAGGCGAAACTAAAACAAAACAAACTAGAAATAGTCTGATAGTTTCTGGATGTAATTGGATGCCGTGAAGCATACTGCTGATGTATTCCTCACCCTTGTTAGCTTGCGGACGGGGTTAACCTCTTTGGTCGTGCGTCCGACCTCGGCTCAGAAGGTTCGTCGTTCGAATCCCTTCACGTGACTCGGAAATTTTAAGACCGCTACATATCTTTGCATTTTTCAATACAGTGTTTGAGATATACATTTCATTTAATCGATTACAGAATTGATGTTTTTTTGAAATTGTACTATGTCTTTACAACATCACTTAAGCGCTTTATACATCTTTCCTTCATCACACATTTGACCACTACTGATATCTGTTGTAGCTATACATAAAGCGTCTGCAATGTATTTAACCCTCCCACCAATATCATAAAATGTTGTATCTACTTACTTGATTACACAGTATAAGAGCTATTAGATATTTTTCGTAAAATTGTTTTATGAAGCCACACAAATTAACAAAAAATTATATTTTTTTTAATTTGATTTAAAACTTTTAAAGTGAATGCATAGATATCTGAGCTTTGAAAATAAATAAATTTGCTTTTTTACGGCACAAATGATAAGCATGACATGTTTTGTGGTAAAAATAGTATGTCACTTGGTTTGTGGTTAGCATGACATGTCACGTGTTTCGTGGTAAGCATATGTCACTTGTTTTGTGGTAAGCATATGTTAGTTGTTTTGTAGTGAGCAAGACATGTCACGTTTTTATGGGGCAGCAGCCCAGAGCACCTTGGTCTGACGAACAAGGTACCAATATCCGAGCATAGGGACATTTATTGTGTAACAAAACATATTCATATATGGATGTCTGCCGGGGACCCCCTGCTGCGTGTGACCCCTGGACCCCCAAAAGAATGGACCATACAAGGGCTGGATCAAATATTGGAGGTATAACGTGAAAGTAAGTGTAAATGAACTGGTTCATCTCACAGAGTACAGAAAGGGCCACACCAGACAAATCTTCAACTGCATAAATCCTGCCAGACCCCCCAGTGAGGATCCCAAAATTTGGGCTGGGTTAAACATTGGAGGTACCACATGAAATCAACATAAAATGAACTATTACACTCTACTGAATACAAAATAGCCATTGCCAGACAAATCGTCTGCTGCATAAGGCCCGCCAGACACTCCCCAAAAAGTTAACCCTCCATGCACTCTGTAAAATTTATACATTCAAAGTACCAGATGAAAGTAAGTTTAGATGAACAGGTACATGTTACTGAGTACAAACGGCCCATACCTGACAAACTTTCCTCTGCAAAAGGCCCGCAAGACCCCCCATCCAACATACATCTTCAAATCAGTCTTATTGAATGTGAGACGTGTGCAGTCGCCACCATATGACGCAATCAACGTCTTGTTTGCTGGGATTGACCCATAATGATCTCCTTGCCATTCTTTAAGGAGAAACATCGCCAACTATTCTTTGAAGATCCCATTTTGGAGTAACTTCTGACAGCTTTGTCTTGGTGCTTGCTCTGGACCAGTGATGAGGAATGGACGATTATCAGCTTCACGTAGTTTTCTCTTGCTCTCGTTCAGGGACATTGGACGATAGGTCAAACAATACATTCTCATTTCCTCGGCTGCCACATACATGCACTAGAGGTGTCCTTGCGAGATGCCCATATGATATAATCCTCCCAATGGCAGATAAAAAAGAGTGAATAAATAGTCCACCATCAATCAAGGTCACATCAATTAGTGGAAGTGGCGTTTCCGTGACGCCTTCCTGTAGTTCCTCTAGCTTATTTAGTAACGTACTCTTTTCTGTCTTGAGACCCCAGCCTTCCGAGTGTGTGACAGACAGTGGATATTCAGTGGTTGACATGTATCAGATTGAATGTCGTCCTCTTTGAAATAACAACAAGCATGCGGGTAGAAACATCTCTTAGACTCTCAGCAGCAGGTTTTCCCTTAGCTTTGGGACACATCTTCTTTGAATTTTCCTGTGCGAAATTGGACACCTTTCTCCTTGGGATGGACTTTAGTAATCTTTTGTTGTCTGCAGTACATTCCTCTTGGAACTTACCATGAAGTTTGTGACCAGATATTCTTGAGTTACCTGTGATGCTGCTCTTCCTGTAGCGGTGTTCATGAGGCAGGCAGATGTAGATGCTGGTGGTGAAAAGGGGTCCCACGATTCTGTAACTGCATTAAACAAGGCATCCCTTTGGCGACTGTCTGTCTCAATTCTGCTTGCCCGAAGTTGTGTTGTTAGCTGCTACATTGTTTCCAACCCCGTCATACTCCGCAGCAGCGTCACAGCCATTCCTTGATGGGTTGATGTGATGCACCATCTTCTTATTGCATTACGAGAGTGATGGAACCCTACAATACTCCTCGGTGATGCTGCATCTCTGTTGACAGTCTGTTCCAAGGTCAAGTCGATAGCCGAGCGTGAAAAGGTCTTCTCCGTGCGTCTGATGGAAAATGCTCCAGCCTGGAGTACTACTCGACTCTCTGGCGCCGTATCAATGGATGCTGCATGGATAAAACCATGCTTGATGACATAAAACCTGCGGGCATGTTAACACAAAGGAGATCTGGCTTGATTTTTAAAAGAAACCTTCTCGCCACGATAAATAGAACCAGCGTTTTCTAAGACCATTAATTTATTAATTCGGTTCCTCTTCTGAAGTTTACTCGTACGAACGTACATGTATTTGTAAACTTCCAAGCCATTTTAAATTTGTGCGACAGGTAGGCCGATCGAGCGAGAACTATGCAACCAATCATTAACATTGCATTGGGTTAGACTTGATTTTCCAGACGCTATAGTATCTCGTCAACGAAGAGAGGACGTCTTTATAAAATTGATAGATATGGATATATTTGGCCGGAATTAAACTTTTAGAAGATAAAACTTGCAGAGAGATCATGGGTTTTTAAACACAATTATCACCCAGATTTTCCAGATTATCGTCCTAAAACATTTCCAAGTGGTATTGGGGACTATCATTAACCATTCTGCAACATACAATAATCATGGCACGTAGCTTCATATGCCTATCTAAGCATGTTTGGGCTCATAGGAATCCATAGCCAAGCTATCAGGCTATAGCAGGCCTTGAGGACTTTATAGCTGATCAGATAGATATTCCAAAGAATCAAATTCATGCCATTTTCATTACATTTTAACGATAGGCCTAATCTATGATATCAATACTAATATTCATAGACCTAATTTTATACTTACGTGATTTTAATCTCAATAAAATCCTTCCATATTTAAGAACAAAACATAAATTTGACCATTGTTGACTCTCAGAGCTGATGTTCAATGCTCGTCTGACTCCTATGTTTCATTATGCACACTAGGATTACAGAGGGTCAACTGTGTGGGGTTGGGTGGGGGTGTGTATGGCGGGCCTTATGTAGAAGATGATTTGACTGGCAATCGGTATTTTGTGATGAGTAGAGTGCAATTGTTCATTTTATGATGCCGTTATGTGGTACCTCCAATGTTAAACCAAGCCCAAATTTTGGGACCCTCACAGGGGGGTCTGGCAGGATTTATGCAGAGGAAGATTTGTCTGGTGTGGCCCATTCTGTACTCTGTGAGATGAACCAGTTCATTTACACTTACTTTCATGTTATACCTCCAATGTTTGATCCAGCCCTTGTATGGTCCATTCTTTTGGGGGGCCAGGGGCCACACGCAGCAGGGGGTCCCCGGCAGACATCCATATATGAATATGTTGTGTTACACAATAAATGTCCCTATGCTCGGATATTGGTACCTTGTTCGTTTGTCCAAAATGCACTAGGCTTCCCGTCTATTAGTGGTGAGCATGACATGTCGGTTTTTAGTGGTGAGCATGACATTTCAATTGTTTTGTGGTAAGCATATGCAACTTGTTTTATGGTAAGCATATGTTAGAGACATGTATTTGCAGTGAGCATGACATGTCACGTGTTTTGTGGTAAGCATATGTTAGTTGTTTTTCAGTGAGCATGACATATTGCGGGTTTCGTGTAAAGCATATGTCACTTTTTTGTGGTACCCACGATATGTAATTTGCATTTTGTGGTAAGCATGTTATGTTAGTTGTTTTGTGGTAGGCATGATATGTCACTTGTGTTTGGTGAGCATTACTTGTCACTTGGTTTTAGTGGTAAGAATGATATTTCATTTGTTTTGTGGTAAGCATGTTATATCACTTGTGTCGTGGTAATGTCATGTGTCACTCCATGCTTACAACACCAAAGTGACATACCATGCTGCAGAAATGAGAAATGACATACCTGGCATTTAATCGCTCCATAACCCTATCGCTGACTTCGCCTATTGTATTGCACTATCCTCATATATGACGTCGTTGCTCGCTCGGTAAAGTACATCCGGTTAGGTGTGTGATCTAAATATTAATCAACCAATCGTGTATGAACCAATCCTTGTTATCAGACCGGTTATGTAGGTTATAAGCGACTACTCGCCTATGTTGTTGGTGTCAATGATTATAAATAGTTTGTACCAAAATAAAAAAAGATTTCTGATTGTACATGCATTACTTCTTTGAACTGGCTTCACTTGAATAAATTTCCCCCACAAAAAAAAATGTCATGCAAGTTTGCAACTGATGTTTATCTACTTTAAATTTTTAATTAGAGGCTTATTATGAAGTAGAATCGAGAGACGATATGCCAATAGTTATTTCAAATACATGATTTAGCCCTAAAATGATGCAACATATTTATGTGGTCCCAGTGCGGAGACTCGGTCGCACCTGCGTTAAATTCATAACCTTAAACCTTAAGCCATTTTGCAACCAGAAACCACACGCCACCCTAGAGTTACTGGTGATTGTAGAAACAAACTTTGAATGGTGTGGTCTAACTACGTCAACCCATTGGAGGGTACAGCAACTAACAATCTCCCTTTCTATCTTATTCTTTCAATTTAAAAAAA